CTGTTATTGTTGGTTTATTTTTTAGCTCTATTGAGGATATTAACTTTCCTTTGAAAAGCTCTCTCGCTGAGCTCCATGGACACAAAGCGGGCGATAAAAGAGAGCAGAGGGCCTTCATCTCCCTTTGCTTTGCAGATACAAAAGCCTCCCTTTTTAGCAGAAGGAGCTCAAGACATCCACATTCAATGATATCCTTTCAAAAATGCCTGGATCGCCAACTGTGCCAAGGAGCCTAGCTCAGGAAAGAAACAGGCAGAGCCCACACAGGCAATTGAGTGCGGGAAAGATAAACATCACCGTTCTGTAAGTAAGGAGACAGAAGGGCGACAGACAGCAACACCGTCACTGTCATTGAGAAGAAGGGGATCCATTTCTAAATTGGAGTGGGAGGTCGAACCCTCTTTTACTGAAGCCCAATGAAAAGGGATTTGAACTTGAGAACCTAATTAATGGGCATCATGATCTTCCATTATAAATAAGAGCTGAAGGGAGGGGATGATATGGATCTCCCCAGGTGACCATCCAACCATAATAAAGATAAAGCTAGAATAGATAATCAATGATAGATAAAGATAGTTACAGAAGAGCATCAGTAGGGCCCTGCTGGGTCGGTGTCAGGAGCAAAGAATTAGGACCATGGGTTAAGTTGCAGTTCAGAAGACCTATTGCTCAAGCCTATATCCAAGAATCTAGCCAATTAAAGTTCAATACTAAATTGGCATCAGACAAGGGTCAACAGAATTCAGAAAGGATTGGACTTACACTGTTTGTTGGAACGTAATGATTCTAGACTGCTGACTCGCTTAACTCAGCCTTTCCACCTCTGCCTGCTCTTCTTCTACACCTGGAGTCCTGGCGCATCTAGTCCAGCAATCTCTTCTCATAGTGGTCAACCAACTGCCCAAGGAAACCCACTAACCCAGGGGTCCCCGGACGAGTACCAGGCTGTGGCATGCCAGCAACCGGTCCACACAAACAAGCAAAGCCTCATCTGCGAGATGCAGGCAGCACACAAAACCACGCACCCTCCGGTCCACGGAAAAACCCCTCTCCATGGAAATGGTCCCTGGTGACCAAAAGGTTGGGGACCTCTGCACTAGCCTCTCAACAGATGCTTTCAGAGGAGGTCTACTGCCCTCGAGGCTAACACCATTGTTCCCCATGACCTCTTTAATTGGTCCAACCTTTTTTTTTTTTTTTGATGCCAGACAAACTGGTACTCAAAACCACATCTTGCGGTGCAGAACACTCTGGAACCAGTATTTGTCCTTTCTGGATGAATTTTAAACCTGGAGTGATCTTAAGTGATATCTCAGACAAAAAGGGAATAAGGCAGAAGAAATTGTAGGGGAAAAAAACCCCCATATATTTCCCTTAAGCAACTGCAGCTCATACAAGCATTGGGATTTAGGGACTAACCAGCTTTCCTTGTGATTATATTATAACAAGGCTGGGCACTCTCGTCCTTGGCACTCAGCCAGATATCTCTGTTCTTGTAGTGACAGGTGGAAAAAACCGAAATGGTCCGAAGGTCTAAAATTTTCACCTATTTGCCACTTAGTTGGGTGCTAAAAAGAGCAGGGTCTTAGTTAACTTAGTTTGAGAAGCTGTGGAAAGAACCATATTCGAGTCCCGCTGACAGGAGCGAGAGAGAATTAATACCTTCCTGAAAAACAAACGGAACAGCAGCTACTCCTGTATCCTGCCTCATTTTCACAGGCTGTGTGTCATATGTGCTAGCTCTTAAGTCTGAATCTGGAAAGAAGCATGTTCAGGCGAACCAGAGTGGGTGAACAATGCCTGCATGCCTGCTGGCTGAGGAATTCTGGGAGTTGAAGTCCACAAGTCATAAAAGGGCCAAGTTTGAAGAGCCCTGCTTTAAGGGATGTCACCCAAAGATTCAACTGGCTGGACAAACAACGGAAAACAGCAGAGCTGAAAACAATTATGGGGAGGGAGAGAAATGAATGGCCGAATGTGGGTAGATCCCCAGCTCAGCCCACATAAACAGGGCAGGTGACGGAAAAACTCCCAATGTATCACTTACAGGCCTTGGGGCCAGGATCAGCCCCTGCAGGAACGCCATGCATCTTTGGTTGAAATTGGAACACGGAAAGCAGGAGAACCAGTCGGAGAACTTGGCTGGGCTTCTCGTCCTCAGAAAGAACAACATGACACATGTAATTTGTCAGGGTTTTTTTTTTTTTGTTCTCCCCCCCCCCATTCTCCATGGCTTCATATTTCACGCATGAGTGATGAAGCTTTAGAGATTTTAGAGTTGGGTTATTTTGAACGATAACTAAAGAGGACAACTGGGAAGAATGCGTCCCTGTTCTGGTCACCACGACACACACAAAAATGTTGAGAAGCTAGAAAAAGAGCAGAGGAGAGCAAGAAAGACGATTGGGGTGGGGGGTGGGGGGTGGAGGCTAAGTTGTATGAAGAACAGTTGGAGGAACTAAGCCTGTCTAGTCTAATGAAGAGAAGGATTAGGCATGCCACGATAGCAATCTTCCAATGTTTGAGGGTCTGTCACAGGGGTCGACCTATTCTCCAAACGACTGGAGGGCAGGACAAGAAGCAAGGAATGGAAACGTACCAAGGAGAAAGTCAACCTAGAATTAAGGAGAAATCTCCTGTCAGCGAGAACAATTAATCAATAGAACAGCTTACCTCCCAGAGCTGTGGGTGCTCCATCACTGGAGGTTTTCAAGAAAAGATTAGACAGCCATTTGCCTGGGATGGTATAATGCAGGGGTCTTCAAACTTGGCCCTTTTATGACTTGTGGACTTCAACTCCCAGAATTCCTCAGCCAGACATGCTAGCTGAGGAATTCTGGGAGTTGAAGTCCACAAGTCATAAAAGGGCCAAGTTTGAAGGCCCCTGGTATAACACCTCCTTTAGCTTAGGGTTGAACTAAAAGATCTCCAAGGTGCCTTCCATCCCTGACACCCTACATCAGTGGTGGCGAACCTATGGCATGCGTGCCAGAGGCGGCACTCAGAGCCCTCTCTGTGGGCACGTGTGCCATTGATCCAGCAGAGTTCACCAGAGTAGCGAGCACATGGTGTTTGGAAGCGACAGGGCAGGAAGTGAGCAAGCAAGTGGTGGTGGCCTCCCAGGAATGCCCTTGAGATGGCAAGGGACTGGCCCTGGCCATGCTCACCCAGTCTGCTGTGACCACTGCAGCCATGCCCACCCAGTGGGCCACGCCCCCCACGTCCTCCCTGAGGGCACCACAATGCTGATGCAGCCCTGGCACTTTGCGATAAAGAAGTGGGTTTTGGGTTGCAGTTTGGGCACTTGGTCTCTAAAAGGTTCGCCATCACTGCCCTATGTCCTACGGATTCATTTTCTTCTCTTCCCACCTTTTCCCAGATTTAAAGTCTTCCAAGTTGGTTGTAAAATGATTATCCCAAGAGGAACAATGACTTGGTCAGAGATCAAAGGATATGGCTTTGACTTCATGTATTATTCAACTCCCAGAATTCCTCAGCCAGCCCTGGGAGTTGAAGTCCACAAGTCTTAAAGTTGCCAAGTTTGAAGACCCCTGGACTCTAGCTTCATGGACACAATTGAATGGAATAAAAAGAAGAAAGCCCTCCTTAAAAGCCAAACTGTTAATGATTATATTTGCCATGCTGTCTTGAGCAAACTATTCTTGCTTAAATTTAGTTAAACTAAGTCAAAAAAACCTCACTGTTTCTTAATTATTATTATTATTATTACCTCTACTATTGGGGTATTTTAATTCTTGCTAAACTTGTTCTATTCACCTTTTTCTCTCTCTCATTAATATGCGTGTATGCATAAAATAACAACACAACGGAGATTTTAAGGTCAAGTAGTTAGCTTCAGACCTAAACCTACACTAAATGACAAATACTTAGAGGCCTGTCACCGGGTTTTGTTCTTTCATGTCCTACTCAACTTTGAATTTAAAAACCCAAATAATTTTAACGCCTGGAATATTGATATCCTGAATTGTAGTTAATTATTAACAGAATATCTTTTTTTTGCTCTTATTTTCAATACTCTTTTCCAAATAACAGAATGCCAGTAATCTCTTATGATTTAAATATCACTGTACTGAAATAATACAATGTTTCAAGGCACATAACACACAATACAAAGGGATCAAAACATACAATTGTAAAAAAATAAACAATGCTTGGTTTAGGGGCCTTCACCTTAATAAACGAATCCAGCTCTGTTATGGCTTGTAAATCAGGGCTTATGGCAAAACTGAATGTGTGGACAAACTTGTGTCAGCCAAGAAACCATGATTAAGCAAGGCCAAGACTGGCCACGCACTGACCTCCCTGGGAACCAAGAAGAGGAAAAAAACGTTCGCCTTCCATCTTTTTCTGAGATTCGCAACTGGGCTCCTTGTTTAGCTTGGTGGAAGAAGTTTTCGGTCAACTGATCTTTGCCAAGGGGAGAAGGCACTCTGCACGTGAGCAGAAGCCTGGAGGACTCTACTCTGCCAAGGTGCGCAGAGTTGAGTCGGTCTCTTTGGCTTGGCAACTGGGACCCCAGTCAAAGCAGGGCTCCTGAATGCCCTCTGAGCTTGGTTTTTTTTTTTTTTTTTTTTTTGCAGACTTTTCATTACCCTAACTAGGTAGCATCATCAGTGCTAAAAAGGAGTGAGTTTGTGGAATGGAAGAGGGGGGGGGGAAACAACTGTGAGATCCTTGGTGCTCTCCGAGCTGGTTTTTTTTTTCTTGCAGACGTTTCATGACCCATACTAGGTAACATCATCAGGGCTAGCCTGGAGACGTCTGCAAGAAAACAAGCCAGGAGCCCTCAATTTTCAACCCTGAGCGACAGGTATTCTCTTTTGTTGGAAGCGCAAAGGCTTTCTGCACGGGGGCAGAGGCTAGAGGCGCTCCCCCCGGAGCAGCTGTCACCCCCGCCAGCCTCCCTGCCGCTGCCGAGGCCCGGCCCCGGGCCAGCTGCTGCCTACCCACCGTTCCCTCCCTCCCTTTCCCTTTCCCTTCCCTTCCCTTTCCTTCCCCAGCGCAGCCAGCTCAGCTCCTCCCCCGCCACTCGCTCGCTGGCTCGCTCGCTCGGCTGATCCGGCTCGGAGCACCGGAGGAGCCGCGGCGGAGAGCGCTGCTGCCTTGGCAGGTGGGGCGAGCCGGCTGCGCGAGGAAGCCGCGCGATCCTCTCTCGCGCGCGCAGAGCTCTCCCCTCCTCCCCACTCCGTGCGCCTTTGCGCGGACTCTGCGCGCCTGCCTCCCTGCCCGGCACCATGTCTCGCCCGGCGGAGCCAACCTGCCTGCTGCTGCTGCTGCTGCTCGCGATCCTGCCCGCCGCCTTGCTGGCCCTGGCGCCGCCCGCCTCCATCCCTGGCGCCGCCAAGAACGGCAGCGGCGGCCCCGGCGACCCCCAGAAAGCGGCCGTCTCTCCTCCGCCTCCTCCGCCGCCCACGGCCGGGAACCACAGCGGCGCTGCCCAGCGCAACCCGGTCCTGGCGATGCTGCGCGATTTGCCCGGGCTGAAGGCCGCTGTCATCGGAGCCTGCGCGGCCAGCGCCTGTCTGATGGCCTGCCTGCTGTTCCGCGTGCTCAGGTGCGGCGGGAGGAAGGGGACGCGGGGGATCCCTGGCCGCAGCCCTTCGCTCCTGGACCTCCTCCCTAAAGCAGCCGAGACCCTTCGCCCCACCCCGCCCCGCTGGGACCCTAGCCCACCCCTCTCCATGGGCAGCTGTTCCCAAAAAGAGGGATTAAAGGGAAGGTGTATTTTTTTTAACCTTGCTTGGTGGGGGTGGGGTGGGGGTTTAGAAGCGCTGCCCACCCCTTACCTTCCTAAGCCCACCCCCCCCCCGCCCCACCACAAACAATCTGACAAGGTAGGCCAGGATGTTACCTCTCTGCCTTCCTGGTGGAGAAATAAGGGGTGAACCTGTTTGGGTTTCAAAGTCGCCAGGTTTGAATGTTCTCAGCCTGCCTCTTTTGCATTTAGGCCAGTGGTTCTCAACCTTTTTAATGCCGCGACCCCCAACCGGTCGTAAGTTGAGGACTACTCAACCGGTCGTAAGTCGAGGACTACTCAACTGGTGCAGCACCGTTTGCAGAATGGGACTTTTGGCGGGCTCAGCAGGGCAGAGACAGCCTGGACAATTCCTATTGGCTTTTGAAAGCCAATAGAATTAGACTCTATTCAAGAGAGTCTATTCTATTGGCTTTCAAAAGCCAATAGAATAAAAGGGAGTAGCACAGCTAAGGAAAAGGGGGGAAAAATGGCGGACTGCCTTGTTTGGCGACCCCCGTGAAATGGTCGTTTGACCCCAAATGGGGTCCCGACCCACAGGTTGAGAACCACTGATTTAGGCCAACCTAGCCTGTCATGATTATATGGAGAATTATTCTCTTAATATATAGCAAATGGCAACAGGACTCAGACTTATATGCTGCTTCGCAGTGTTTTACAGCCCTCTCTCTAAAGCGGTTTACAGAGCCAGCCCAACAATCGGGGTCCTCATTTTACTGACCTCGGAAGGATGGAAGGCTGAGTCAGCCTATGTACTCCAAATATATATACGCCAAATATGTCTAATAACAGATGTCTAATAACGCTGCGTCTTCTTATAAGGCAGGCCAGGAGATCTTGATAGAAGAGGCTTCAGAATCTAAAAGTACAGTCCTTGTTTAAGAAGACCTAAGGCTTGCCAATTGTTTTCCTGCTGCCCTGACTTTTTAACACTGCTTTTGTTCTGCTGGCCTGGGCGTAAATCAAGTATACTTAAGGACTCTTTTGAGAAGGGCTCCCCACCCCTATGCAAAATTCAGAAGGCAAAGCCTGCCAGCAAAGGGCGCATCATATATTATCCCTTTCTTGCTTATGGGGAAGCTTGAGAGCAACTGCCAACAGCCACTGGCTTAATGGTGAGGCAGTGAGATTTAAACCAAGGCTTTCCGGATGAAAACTGAGCCTTTTTTTTGCCCAGGTTCAACCACAATCGCGTGTGTGAGCCCCCTCCCACCCCCCATCCCCGCAGGCACAGTGCTCATAAAAATCTGACTTTTTAGGGAGGTTGGTGGGAATCCTGTTTACTTCCCCTCTGAACGGGATATCTCTCTGTAAGGGAGAAAACATTTCCACACCCCCAGGGCTTTGCTGCTTGATCTTAACAGGGACCTGAGCAATTAGAGCAGTAAATGCAGAGGAAGATGCTGGCGCCTCCCCTGCAGATGGCACGAAGGACTAACTTTTAAAGTGCTCAGTTCAGGGTTGCTGTGACACCAGCCACCTGGGCCCCAATCCTTGCTTTTAGTCCTCTCTCTCTTCAACTGCATAACAAACTTACCCCTTGTAGCTGGAGGCCTGGACCCCAGTTTAGTGTTGTGTAGTGTAATGTAGTATTGTGCTTAATGTACCAGAGTACAAACGGGATGGCTGTGAGTTCTAGTCTCACTTTAAGCACAAAGCCCTGGGCCAGTTACTCTCAGTCCGAGGAAGAAGAAGGCAATGTACGTGGCAAAGGGTGCTTCCAAAACCCTGCCCCCCCCCAAAAAAAGCTGCAGGGACTGATCTAAGCCGTTGCCAGAAATCAACACAGACTAAAAGATACAGGTAGTCCTTGACTTATAACAATTGTCTTAGTGACCGTTGAAAGTTGCAACAGCACTGAAAAAAGCGTCTTTGGACCATTTTTCACGGTTAATGACCGTTGAAGCATCCCCATGGTCGCGTGATTTGCATTCGGATGCTGGACAACTGACTCCTATTTGTGACGGCAGCCGAGTCCTGGGATCATGTGATCGAGCAAGTGGGGAAACCGGATTCTCTTAAAAACCACGTGACTTAACAACTGCACCGATTGGTTTAACAGATGGGGCATCTCGCTTAGCAAATTTCTCACTGAGCCGCATAAATTTGGGGCTTCAGTTGTGGCCGCACGTTGAGGACTACCTGTACGTATTTATTTATTTTTTTTAAAAAAGGAATCACATATAGGTAGTATGTAATTGAGCCTGGAATTGCAATTGTTAAGCAGGTCACTGTGTGACTGGAATGGATTTTATGACTTTTTGTGATGGCTGTTAAGCGACTAGAATGCTTGCTAAGCAAACCCGTTTCATCCAGTGGGCATATTTTGGCAGAAAATGGAAGTAAACGCTGGAAATCGGCAAAAAAACCCCAAACCCATGAAAAATCAGTCGTGTGCCTGCTTGCAAACAGCCATAAAGGTGAGCCAGTTGCCAAGCACCCAACATATGATCACATGACCGCAGGAGTGTGTGTGTTGCCCTTGTAGTTTCAAAATCAAGTCACAGGTAGCTTTGGGGGGCTCTGTTGTTTGAACTGTTACTTAGCAACCAGCCATAAGTCATGAACTACCTCTATAAGCAAGGCATTAAATCCTCTCTACTAAAGCCCATCTTAACTCCCCCTTCTCCCATCTGGCCATCTCCAGATGTGCCGGGAGAGCAGTTGTCAACATCCTTTGGTCACCAGAGCTTGAAATTCTGGGAGTTGTTATCCCAGCACATCTGCCGGGTATCAGTTGAGAAAGGCTGTTCTCACCAGCTGCCTAACATGGCCTATGTTACAAATATTTATATTATGGGTTACGTATATTTTCACCAAATTGGGATGATCAGAAAAACCAGAATATTAAGAATTTCCAAGTCAGGCGTTTTAGCTGTGTATAAACCAGGACCGGCCATATTTGCTCCACCAACCCAAAGTAATTTTTCACAGTTGTTATCACCTGAATCTTTTAAGTGGTAACACAGGTAAGTCCTCGACTTAGGACCGCAATTGAGCCCAACATTTCTGTGGCTAAGCGAGACGTCTGTTAAGTGAGTTTTTGCTCCATTTTATAACCTTTCTTGGTCATTAAGTGGATCCCTGAAGGGGTTAAGTTAGTAACACGGTTGTTAAGTGAATCTGGTTTCCCCATTACACTTCCTTGTCAGAAGGGGATTACCTAGCCCCCGGGACACTGCAACCGTCATAAATACATGCCAGTTGCCAAGCATCTGAATTTTGATCACGTGAGCATATGGATGCTGCAAGGGTCGTAAGTGTGAATAACGGTCATCAGTCACTTTTTTCAGTGCCCTTGCAACCAGAAATGGCCACTAACTTGTAAGTCAAGGACTACATATATATGTAAGTTGCAGAGTTCACACAGTGAGCTTAACCGGGTGAGTTACAAGCTGCGCTTTGTAGGCCTAGCCCAGGGGTAGGCAACCTTGGCTCTTTTATGACTCGTGGACTTCAACTCCCAGAATTCCTGAGCCAGCCATGCTGAGGGGAAAGGGAGAGGTTTCCATGCTGGCTGAGGAATTCTGGGAGTTGAAGTCCACCAGTCATAAAAGAGCCAAGGTTGCCTACCCCCGGCCTAGGAGTTCTGAAGATGCAATGATTAGTTTATTTCGTGTTTTGATCAGTTTATTCATGTTTCGATTAGTTTAATATTGGTGTGCGACTCTAGAAATTGGGTTGATTCCATAACCGGGTTAATTTCCTGGTGTCAATGCGCACCCTGTGCCTGTATTAGTGTCAGGAACTGTTTGTGCGGCTTTCTCTTTGCCAAGCGCATGGGCGACCACGGAGGTAAAGCTCTGATGCTTGAAGAGCTAATGAATGGGAAAGGTCACATCAGCCTTGGCAGCCTTCTGGGGTATTAAATTTCTTGTTTACAGGAAGCCTGTGTGATCTCTTTTGGAAAATATATCTGGAAATCTGTCAGTAGGTCTTTCCTGAACAGAAGGTTAGATAGGCAGAGCTTGAGCGGAAGCTGATTACTGAATTTTAAAATTTTCCAGAGGAATAAACTGGGCACTTCTCGCGGAAGTCAAATAAGCATGTTGAAAAGCCTTGATAGATCTCTTAATAAAACCTGTTTTTCCCGTTCCGATTGATTCACTTGCCAGGTTGGTCTGGGAGAAAAAAAGGAGACAGGGTAAAACAGAAATGAAATGTTCTCCATTGCTGTCTAGTCTCTTTTAAGAAGAGACTGGACAGCCATTTGCCCAGAATAATAGGAAGTCTCCAGCTTGATCAGGACTAGAAGACTTCCAAGGTCCCATCCAGACTTTTTAGTCTTTGTTCTATGTTCTTCGTTGCAGAAGGTGTGTGTGCCTGGTTCTGTTTTAGCAGCTTTGTTTGAGGCAATTAATCGGCCTCTTGTTTTGTGCAAAAAGTAGCACCACTTCAGGATCCTAGAAATCTTTGTGTCAAGACTGACTGTTGCTTTCACCTACATTGACACCTACACTTTGACAGTAACGGGGGTGGGGGTGGGGGGTGGAGGGAATGCAAGGGGGGGAATTATATCCAAGCAACCATCGACTTTCTGGCATGTCAAGGACACACCACCGAGCAGACGTCCCAGTATGGCTGGCTGTTTCCCATAACAATACAAACAGAAGTGGTTGGTGGACATAATGAAGAGAAGGACGAGGAGGGACATGATAGCAGTCTTCCAATATCTCAGGGGCTGCCCCAAAGAAGAGGGAGTCAAGCTATTCTCCAAGGCACCAGAAGGCAGGACAAGAAGCAACAGATGGAAACTAACCAAGGAGAGAAGCAACCTAGAACTAAGGAGAAGCTTCCTGACAGAACAATTAATCAGTGGAACAACCTGCCTCCAGAAGCGGTGAATGCTCCAACTCTGGAAGTTTTTAAGAAGAGACTGGACAGCCATTTGTCCAGAATGGTATAGGGTTTCCTGCCTGAGCAAGGGGTTGGACTAGATGACCTCCAAGGTCCCTTCCATCATCATCATCATCATCATCATTATCATCATCATCATTATTATTATTATTATTATTATTATTATTATTATTATTATTATTATGGATTGTGGGTGGCCCGTAGGAAAAGGGGGAATTAACGATGCTTGCTTTTGCACGGGGAAACCCAGAGCTCGTTTTGCTTCTTCTGCGCCAGTATAGTTTTTTAAGTAAAGTTTTATACTCTTGGTAAAATAATCTCCCAGGAGTTTCTTTTTCTGGATTTGCCAACTGGACAGTTGACCCTTTACCTTCAGGTGGGAGGGGGTCCTAATTTCAGAAGGCTTATTCTGCAAACATCAGGCTCTGGATTTTTCTTTCGCCAAGGGACACGGCTGCCAGCCAGCCTCAGAGAGAGGACTCATTGTTGGATCTGCTCTTGAATGGTTGAGCATCAGTCCTTTTCTCCTTTAGGCTGCTGGACTAAAAATAGATCTCAGGCTGAAGATCAGCCTGCAGAGCTTGCTGGTTAAAGCCAACAATCTGATAAGGAAACTCAGCTGCTTGCCATGTGACGGTGCTCCTTCACCAAGCAGCTGGAGTTCGCAGCTCTCCTGCCAACGGCCTCCATGGCATTTTAAAATTAAGCAAGCCAGGACATTTGCAAAATCGGAAGAGCAGCAGCCCACACGCGTTCCTCTGTTAGGATTTGCATGCAGCTTCTTGCACCATTACTGCCAGGTTCTGAAGGCAGAACAAGAAGCCATGGATGGAAACTAATCAAGGAAACTAATCAACCAGCCTTGAAATAAGGAGAAATGTCCTGACAGTTAGAACACTTAATCAGTAGACCGGCTGGCCTCCAGCGGTTGTGGAATAACAGAGTCAGACGAGATCTTGGTGGTCTTTAGTCCAGGGCTTTTCAACCAGTGGTACGGGTATCACCTGTGGTACATTGGCACCTGGCAGGTGGTACGTGACCATCCTAGAAAAGTGGTAGCAGGGGAGGGGAATGAGCTGAACCGGTGGCAGCACTGCACAAGCCTTGTCCTGCCTTCAGGTGCTTTGGAGAATAGGTTGACCCTCTCTTCTTTGTGGTAGCCCCTGAGATATTGGAAGATGCTATCTGGTCACCTGTGGTCCTTCCCTTTGTTAAACTAGACATACCAAGTTTCCTCAATCATTCATTGTATGGTTTAATCTCCAGATCTTTTATCATCACTCTTGCTGTTCTCTGCACTTTTTCACTCTATCATGGTGCCCAAATTGGAAGCAGTTTTCCAAGTATGGTCTTAACCAGTGCACTGTAACTATCCCATCATATGAATCCCACCATAGTGGATTGGCAGGAAATAAATACATCTTGGGACTTGTCCTGTGCATTTAACTACCTGCAGAAACTAGTTTGTGGAAGCACATGGTTCACGTCTTTCAGACGTGGACGGTTAAGCCAACACAAGAAGGTCAACACAAGAGGGTGTTGGCAACCTGGCTCCTTGGTGGGGACTCTCTGGAAGTTTGCACAGAACTTGCTAAATCAACCCGGGTTAAGCTGACTAAATATTTGAAATTCAAAAATGCAAGCCACAGGTGCCGAATGCCAGATGTTTAAATAAACCCCAAACAAAGGTTGCATGAGTAATAATGTCCATAAAGATCAATAGGAGTGTTTTCACATCTCCACTTTCAACAAAAGCCATCTGAGATTAATAGTGTCTGCAAAGGGATTGAAATTTCCAGTTTTTACTGGCCCAGCTTCTACAGCAGGGGTCTTCAAACTTAGCCCTTTTATGACTTGTGTCCAGTCTCTTCTTAAAAATCTCCAGTGATGGGGCACCCACGATTTTTTGAGGGTAAGCTGTTCCACTGGTTGATTGTCCTCACTGTCAGGAAGTTTCTCCATAGTTCCAGGTTGCTTCTTTCTTTGATCAGTTTCCAACCATTGTTTCTCGTCCTGCCCGCTGATGCTTTATTATTATTTATTATTTATGAGACTTATATACCGCTTTAAGTGCAAGCACTCTCTAAGCGGTGTACACCAGTAAGCAATGTATATATATATATATATATACATTGCCCCCAACAATCTGGGTCCTCATTTTACCTACTCCGGAAGGATGGAAGGCTGAGTCAACCTTGAGCCGGTGAGATTTGAACCGCTGACCTGCTGAACACAGTCAGCTAAAGTGGCCTGCAGTACTGCACTCTAACTGCTGCACCACCTCGGCTTTGGTGAATAACCTGGCCCCTTCTGCCTTGGGGCAGCCCCTCAGATACTGGACTACTGCTATCATGTCTCCCCTGTTTCTTCTTTTCTTTCTTCTTCTTCTCCTGAAGAAATGTCTATCCCCCCCCCCCAAAAGCACTCGGGAGAGAACCAAGGATCCCAAACACCGAGAAAGGGTGGTGTGATCCTGCCTCTGGGGCAGATACAGGTAGAGAAAGCATTGTTTTCTTTCAAGAGGTATAAAATTGCTTTCAACATAGCCAAAGCCTTTGCGATAAGGAGGCCTGTAACCTGTCAGCAAAAACAGTGCAAAACTGAGCGGACGTCAAATAAATCTATACTAAAGGCACAGAGGGGTGATTTTAATTAATGTTATTGAATGGTGACACCTGAACTAGAAGCCGGGATGTTTTCTGAAATAAGTTGCATAATCTTGAGAACATTTTTTAAACACCTGCCAGCCTGTATTGGTTTTTAATAGCTCATTATGCGGTTTGCATCTAACAAGCTCAATCAAATGACAGTTGAACCGATAGAGTACAAGCTGTTTAATCACTGGCAATTTTGTTCCTAAACTGATGTAATGTGATGGCTGGGGGGGGGGAGGAGAGGGGCATGATTTGGACAGGGCAGAACACATATACATATTTCTCCCAGCATTGTGGCTTTATTCTCCAGAAGAATAAAGCCACACGCTTTTGATGAGTCTCATGAAATAGATTTTAGAACAGAATAGCGCTGGAAGGGACCTTGGAGGTCTTCTAGTCCAACCCCCTGCTCAAGCAGGAGACCCTATATCATTTGAGACAAGTGGCTGGCCAGTCTCTTCTTAAAAACCTCCAGCGATGGCGCGCCCATGGCTTCTGTAGGCAACTTCCGTTCCACTGATTGATTGTCCTCACTGTCAGGAAGTTTCTCCTTAATTCCAGGTTGCTTCTCTCTTTGGTCAGTTTCACTTTGCTCTAAACAGTCTTAAACCTGAATGACAAGATTCCTCAGCTGAATAAGATAACTGTGCCACAGGTACTGGGCATATCAAGGAAGGGGGGGGGGGAATGAACATTGTTCCTCTGAAGCTGTTGTTCTCAAAGAGTAAGAATGCAAAACAGGCATTGGCTGGGTGTTGATATTGTAATGCATTTAGTGAGTCAACTAACGTAGGAATTGCATGCATACAGCATGACAAGTCTGGGTAACTTTGAAAGGTTTTTGCTTATAACGTTGGGGAAACCCTGCCGATTTGGTTTGTCAGTAGTGTGTTGTGGCAAAGCAACAATTGGTTTGTGTTCCAACTTGCTGTTTTAAGAGAGCCTCTTAGAATTGCCAGCTTTGGAATGAAACAGCTGAACCCTTCTAGGATCATATGTTGATAAGGAAGAGAGGAGTTGGCTTATTTTGGGTGTGGACAAACAGTTTAAGTGCATAAATCATGTGGTCTTAAGCCAGGAAGTCCTAAAGTTTGAGTCTGTGATCCTTCTCCCTAACCTACCCCCAAATATCATCTCTAACCAAGTGGTTGTTGATAGCTTAGAGCAGGGCTTTTCAACCTTTTCATCCATTGTACCACTTTTAGGATATGGCAATATCCGAGTACCACCAGTCACCTAGCAAGGGGTCAAAAATCTGATGACCCTCCCCCCAAAAAGGAAAAAAGTGATAAAGTACAGGTAGTCCTCAACTTACAACAGTTTGCTTAGTGACTGTTCGAAGTTACAGCCCAGCAAGACACCTGCCTGCCCGCCCGGCGGTGCTCTTCCTCCTGTCCGAGGTTTTCATTGTTGTGAGCATTTCTGTTGAGGATTGGCAGTGGAGGTGGAGTGGGGGGGTGTTTGGTTTTTATTCCCCCCGTCTGCTGGGGTGGTTGCGGCAGGTTTTGGTCACTTCACATGACTCTGGGACACTGTGACCGTCATAAATATGAATCAGTTGCCAAGCATCTGAATGTAAATCACAAGCCCCTGGAGATGCTGCAACATTCCAGCTGATCGGTGCTTCTTCTGGGCTCAGCAGAAGCACCAGGATCACCGCCGAGCTCCAGCTGGAGCCTGGCACTGATCCTGGTATTTCCACTGAGCCCTGACAGCCCCGAAGAAGCACCGATCAGCTGGAAAGTGGCACTGATCCTAGTGCTTCCACTGAGCCCTGACAGCCCTGCAGCTTCAGCTGTCTCTCGCTCAGGCTTGTGCGGTGCTGCCACCGATTCAGCTCATTCCCCTCCCCCGCTACCACTTTTTTAGGATTGTTGCGTACCACCTGCCAGGTGCCAATGTACCACAGGTAGTACCTGTACCACTGGTTGAAAAGCCCTGGCTTAGAGCACAAAGATGGTGTTGAAGAAACGGTTGCAACAGACATCGGTATCACCCAATATCTAAAATATTTTCTTCTTTCATTTTAGGTCTAAGAGGAGGACTAAAAAACCCCGGAAATATGATATTATCACAACTCCGGCAGAACGGGTGGAAATGGCTCCCTTAAATGAAGAGGAGGAGGATGACGAAGACTCCACAGTATTTGATATAAAATATAGGTAGGGGGGAAGAGGGATGGACGCACAAGCCTGGAGATTACTGGGGTGCTTCATTTTGGGGCTACTATATGATCCCAAGGAAAGACACAGCTTCATCAGAGAGATGCCCTTTGAATCTGATTCACTCTATGGCCTCCCATCAGGATAGGATCAGTTATGTATGGCTGTCCAGTCTCTTCTTAAAAACCTCCAGTGATGAAGCACCCACAACTTCTGATGGCAAGCCGTTCCACTGATTAATTGTGCTCATTGCCAGGAAATTTCTCCTTCTTTTTAGGTTAATTCTCTCCTTGATAAGTTTCCATCCATTGCTTCTTGTCCTGCCTTCAAGCATTTTGGAGAATAGGTGGATCCTCCTCTTCTTTGGGGCAGCCCCCCAAATATAGGAAGATTGCTATCATGTCAACCATTCCTTCTTTTCATTAGACTAGACCAGGGGTCCCCAACCTTGGCAACTTTAAGATTTGTGGATTTTAACTTCCAGCTTTGCTGGCTGAGGATTTCTGGGAGTTGAAGACAAACCTGGATCAAACTGATCTCCCTGAGCAGGGAAACTATTTGCTTGGAGCCAAGCAAGTGACACCAAGTCCGGTGGTAATTCTTTTTGGGTATGAACAGTTTAGCTGTGTCTCCAGTGGGCTTCCTCTCTATTCAGTGGACACAAAAGCAGTTTTGATAAGTCCTGGAGGGGATTTGCCTGGGAGAACCATCTAATTCCAAAATGAGCTCTCTAGCTGACTTCTAATTCTTAAATGACGGCTGGCTTGCTCGCTTGAAAATCTTTCTCAGTTTGATGGTGTGCATCCTCTAACGATGCTAATTTGTTTTCTCAGGTGAGGCCACTGGACTGGACTCCTCAGGAACGTCGTCTCGTGTAGAAAACGATGCAAGAACTTTGGAACCAAAGGAGAGCTGGAGAATAACTTTGTTTCTTTTGGATCCACAACATTTTGATCTACAGAGAAGAGTGGATGTTGGATTTGACCTTTGGCACGTTCCTAATAAATACGGCCATTATGTTCCTGGATGAATGATGCAAGGAACTGAAGGAGTTCTTCCTGAACTTCTTTGCAATTCTAAAGACAATCCTTCTGATTTACCATAGCTTCAGATGCCACCAGCAAATTAGAGAACCGAGGTCAGCCACAAGCAGTAACGTTCATTCAACACTTCAGAGGCTGCCAAGGCATTCTTTGCTCAACATATTAAAGTAGACAGATGGATTCTGATTGCATTCTGGGATTGGCTTTGAGTTGACTAAAATGTTTGCTCATCTTGTGTGCAACTTGGAACTTGTATCGGTGAGGCTGAAATTATTTAGCAAGGTTTTGTGCATATTTGTGTTGGGGGGGGGGAGGAGAATTTTCATGGGTAACCCTTTCACTAGATAGCTCTCATGCCTTGCCATTAATGAGGACCAAGTATGCTGCTGTATTAATTTACAGTAAGGTTCCCTGTTTTTACAGGGAGCTTCCCCCAAACGTGACGTATATTTTTTCCCAGAAGGTGAATTCTGATAGCAGGAGAAAACAAAATAAGTCAATTTTAGAAGAAACGAATTTTTCTTTTAATCCCATGCATCTCACACCCTCATGGGGAGAAGTGATTTTTTTATATATATATGCACTATTTTGCTTTCTATAGCTTCTCATAATTTTTTCATTTCCAGGCAATTAGCAATCGGATTACTGAATCGGAATAAGAGGTTTTGCCTTCACGCCAGAGTGGTTCCGTCTGTTCTCCCCAACAGACACCTCCCCAGTCTCTTTTCCCTCTAGAAATGTTGGTTTTTACTGACTGTCAATTAGGACAGCTGAAACCCCACACACTGTCTTCAGCTTCAGTCATTTCATCATGGTTTGAACTTTGCTTACCGGTGAAACTATTTTCTTTTTAATTATACCTAGCAAATAAATATAAGGCAAAATAGACGGTAGGTTTCCCCCCCCCCTTCTTTCTCCAGGAGAGTCAAATGCTTCTTTAGCACCACTGAAGAAATTGCCCATTTAACCTTAGAATATAGAATCCTAGAGCTGGAAGGGACTTTGGAGGTCTTCTAGTCCAACCGTCTGCTCAAGGCAGGAGACTATACTGTGCTGGTCAAATGATTGTCCAGTCTATTTTTGAAAACCTCCAACGATGGAACATCCACAACTTCATGAAACAAGCTATTCCGTTGATTAATTGTTCTCACCGTCAGAAAATTTCTCCTTACTTTTGGACTGGATCTCTCTTTAACAAGCTTCCACCCATTACCTCTTGTCCTGCCCTCTGGTGCCCCAGAGAAAACAGTAAGACAATCCCCTCTTCTCTGTGATAGCCTTTAAAGTTGCAGGATCCAATCTGGGTCAGTCACCGGGACCAGGGGTCCTGTCTTCTGAGCTTTTGGATTCATGCTGGAGCCTTCATTTGTGAGCCCTTAAAGTATTGGACAGTTATCTTGTCCCCCTAATCCTTCTCTTTGATAGGTTAGGCATACCTAGTTCCCTCAACTGTTCATCATACGATTTAGCCTCCAGGCCCTTCATCATCTTGGTTGCTCTTCTCTGCACACTTTCCAGGTTCTCTCCCTTAATAAGTCGCTATTCTTAAAGGGGATGAAATGACTCAGTGGTTAAAGACGCTAAGCTTGTCAGCTGGAAAACTGACAGTCCGGGTTCGAGGGCCAAGCACTACGCAACGGAGTGAGCTCCCGTGTCTTACTTCAGCTCCTGCCCGCCTAGCAGTTCAAAAGCATGGAAATGTGAGTAGATAAATAGGTCCCACTTTAGGAGGAAGGTACAGGGTTTTGTGCACCTTTGGCATATTGTCACAGTGGACGTGTCTTCGGACAATGCTGGCTCCCTCAGCCAAGAATGAGCACTGTGCCCTAGAGTTAGACACAACTGGTCAGGGCACTGTTTACTTTTACTTTTACTCCAAAAGCCATAGTCCTAAAGACTATAATAAAGAACATAGAACATAAAATCGTGTTGAAAGAGTTGAGTTTCTGCTTCTGTACAAAGTAAAGTTTGGGTTGCACCAACTCGGCATCGCAGCTCCCTTCTCCCATGCTGTGTCTAAAAGCCATATTTACAGAGAGTCCCTCTCCCCCCCACCATTTGTAATTTTATGATAACAAAAAGATGTTTATTCTCTTGATTCAGGAATCCAGCCTGGGACCGATGTTCTCAGAAAAAAAAGGATACATTTAATCTTTTAGATGGCTTAGTTAAGATCCATGTGTTCTTGTCATGCCAGTTTGGAAATATTCTGAGCTGGCAGCCACAAGATATTTGACTCTTGCTTCCCTCCTTTGCTGTCCCAGAGATATTGAGCAAAATATTTTTTCCCAGACTCTTCTTTTCTCTTGAGATTTTCTGAGGATTTCTTTGGTGCCTGTTGAACTCGGTGGAGGGAAGAAGATGCAGGCAGAAATGATCATTGCAGACGTTTAGTAGGGGTGATAGCAAGGTAACCTGAAGTTTCTGAAATCCTTCCTCCCAGACGTTCCCTTTTTTATTAGTTCCAAATAGCAATTATGGATCAACTTTTGAACAGCCTGTGGTTTTGCACGCTTACTTTCTTAAAAAGCAATTGTGTGAGATTTCCCCCAGCAGTATCTCAAAAATCGCTCTGTAATTGAGAAGGTGGTCCATTCTGCTTGATCCCAGCTGAACCTGTGTCTTTCCTGCAATGTTTTTTCTTCCTGTGGAGAAAAAAAAAAAAACCCTGAAGTTTCAAGATTAGCTCTTTATTACCCAATTTCGTGGCTCGCATCCATTTCCCCATCTGCTTCACCCTTTGCAAGCTGATCTTTATTGCCCAAGTGGCTGGCTTTCACACCTTCCCATAAAAACGTTTCTAAATTTCAGTAACAGAATTTGCTGCATTTAGCAATTGTTCGTCAAGACACTTTTCCTGAGGCTGATGCCCTTTTAAGCAATGGCTCTGCTCCCTAGGAATTATAGAACATGAAAAGCAACATAACTAGAGACCATTTAGTTGGAGAAGGAAAAGTAAAAAACGGCAAGGAACATTGCTCATTTATTTTGCAATTCCTGAGGCTAGCTCACTTCTTCAAATATGGTTTCTGAGTGCAGGCCTCTTTGAATGAATCCTGAAAGTACAGTAGCAGAACCACAGCTCCCAGCTTCTATTTTTCTTGGTTGTGCTACATGGGGCTTCTGGGAAATGTACTTCACTGGCTTCTAGAGAGCTACACAATCTCCTTCCTTAACGCAAAGCATATTTCAGACAAGTAAAGCAAATGAACCATGTGTGTGGTATGGTGGTCTAGGGGTGAAGACCCTTGCCTCCCATTCAGAAGGTTGAGAGTTCAATCCTCGATAACTGCAGATGTTTCTCAGAGTGCAAAGAAAAAAAAAATCTGCTGCAAACTCCATGTAGGTGTCAGGAAAGGCATCTAGCTAGTAAATGCTCAGGTCCATCTAGTTGCCCCATACCTATCCCAAATTAAGGAACTACAAGAGAAAAAAAAGCAAACCAACCTTTGGTACAAACATCTTTCAGTGCATGGGTATTTCCCCCTAGTCTTGAGATGGTGAGATTAAAAAGGGGGGGACTAGCCTCTCTCCTGGGTCTTGATTTTAAAGATTTTTTTTTAATTTCAGAGAACTAAAGATTAGCTCCATGCTGCACTATACCATACCTTGTTTTAACCATGATTTGTTGAACAACCTGCCTGGTTTCCAACAACAGTTTACAAGACTTTACTAGACTTTCCCAACCTGGACAAATCCCAGAATTCTTATCTAAGAAGTTACTGCTGAGAATTCTGGGAACTGAACTTCATACATGGCACTGGATGGTTCTTTCCTAAGACACAAAGTAAGATCTGCATATAAGAATAGTTGGATTAGCCTCATATGCTTTGCCACAACCAAAGACATCATAGAAATGCTTCCTTGCCATTTCTGAATGCCATCAAAATATGTTCTTGTTCCGAAAGTACACTTGGACTATTGCAGTGGCATAAATTTAAACATCCCTCATTAAAACAACAAATCTAAATCCTTTCCTGCTTAATTTTTGTTTCTGCATGTTTACATTGCCTTGTACTTTTTAACGGGTTGCCTTTTTTCTCTCTTGCAGTAATAAAAATCAATATTAATATTTTGACAAAAATCAGTTATTTCAATGTATACAGTAGCTGCCTTTCGAGTCAGCTGTTCTACTTTAACTATATAGTACTTGTTATTGCTGGGAACAAATATAATTTCTGTTTCTTCTTAGGAAAACCTCTTTCTCCCTATATCCCAAATGACATCCCAACATATTTCAAATATATTGAAAATAATCCACTAACTCATATTTAATGATATTTAGCTTAAGGAGAGCTCATTATTATTTAGGCTCCATTATTTAAATTTATGATGAGCTGCAGATGTCTTTGTTACTTTAATCTCCTCAGCTAAAGATTACAGGAAGCAATAAGATAGCAAAAATATTCCAAGGGGTGCTTAAGATAAATCAGAGATCTAAGCTAATTGTTGTGCTTGATTAATTTTAATCATCAACTATCTACAGTTACCCCCTTTTGAAAGACAATTATCAATTTAGGTTTCCCTAAGGGTGTAGGCTCAGTTTATGCAATACGATTATGGCATCTGCAAGAAAAACGAGTGATGTCATACATCTCATGATGTCAGAAATCACTAGATCATTGGGATAACGATGACATGATGGGCTCAATATCCTGATGGCTTATGCTGGGCATCTTTGAATTTTGCCACAAACCAGAAAAAACATTGTTAATGAAGGGATCAGGCTGAATTCACCTAAGACGTTAACCTGTAAGCCTCAGTTTGCAAAACCCAGGAACCTCGTTTGGACAGCCGACTTGATTCAAAGCAAAAGAGAACATAGAACATAAAACAAGAGGATTGGAAGGGACTTTGCAGGTCTACTCCAACCTTCTCTCCATGCCAGGTGATCCTACACTATTCTAGGCAAATGGTTTTCCAGTCTCTTCTTCAAAACTTCCAGTGTTGGAACATTCACCGCTTCTGGAGGTAGGTTGTTCCACTGATTAATTGTTCTAACTGTCAGGAAATTCCTCCTCATTTCTAGGTTGCTTCTCTTTTTGGTTAGTTTCCATCCGTTGCTTCTTGTCCTGCCTTCAGGCGCTTTGGAGAATAGCTTGACTCCCTCTTCTTTATGGCAACCCCTGAGATATTGGAACACTGCTATCATGTCCCCCCTCATCCTTCTCTTCATTAAACTAGACATACCCAATTCCAGCAACCGTTCCTTTGATGTTTTAGTGTTTCACTTAGCATGAGAAATTTTGGGCTCAGTTGCGGTCAGAAGTCAAGCACTATCTGTCCGTCCAACTATTGAAAAAGGAGAACATCCTTGAACTTTCCAATCTGGCCAGGTTTGCTGGGACGCTGTGCACTTTTCCAAGTCTTGACATCTTCATTTCTTACTCCTCAACGCAGGCAGGGATTGCCAAAAGCAGTTCTGTTGAGGAAGCAAAAGGCAGCCACCGTGCAGTGTGGTCTCTCCTAAATCATCTTCTCCTGCCACGACAGCCAATGTAGGACTCGCAGTCTGTAATAAATTCATCAGGCACAGCTGGCACGGGTCAGCTGCACTTGTCCTGCTTGGGTTGTGTCGGAATCAGATTCGCTTATGGAAATCTTGCAAAGCGACTCTTCCATCATGGCTGATGAGCAAAAATCATGAAGCCAAATGCTGCACCTCCCTCGTTCTTCTTTCTTTCTTTAGCATTCTAAATTCAATGATACATTTTTCAATTATCGTGCACTTTTTTCAAGCATGCACTTTTTTTCAATTATTGACAAGGATACCCTTCTCAATGTTTGCACAATCCTGGAAGATGAAAAGGGTGTTGTTTGTTGTTACACTGTGAACTTGATTTTTTTAATGCTACTATTAATCATCATCACCATCATCACCATCAGTC